TTTGTATCTGCGTATTCAAAATGGTTAGGATAGATATATAGTTACATTCTCTTAATGAATAGAGGGATTTGTTCTAATAGTGTTTGTAAATAGGATGTCATGTCCTCATCTTGTACAGCAATTAACCACTAGGAAGAATATATGCAATGTGTTAATTATTGAAACTGTCCTACAAATTTGGTTTAAAAAAAAAGAAGAAAGAGAAAACACCATAGGCAACAAAAGTAGAATACTCATTCTTTTCAAAATGTATGGAACATACATCACAAATAACAGTTAGCCATAATAAATTTCAGAAGACTGAAACATCAAAAAAAAAAAAAAAAAAAAAAAAAAAGAACTTAAGAGTGCTACTCTTCATTAGTTTAAAGCGTCCTGTGGGGCGTGGGGGCGCACACCTGCAATCCCAGCACCAAAGAGGCTAAGGAGGGAGGATGTGTGAGTGAGATCAGCTTGGGCTACAAAGTGAGCTCAAGACCAGCCTGAACTGTGTAGTGAGTGAGACCCTGTCCCTAAGACAAAACAAAGAAATCTAGAACTAGAAGCTAGAAATTCCATTTGATGCCGCTATTCTCTGTCTTGTTATTTTCCCCAATGACCTAAAGACACCATACTCCCCCAATACATGCATGCCAGTATTCACAGGTGCGAAATTTATAACAAGTCCTAGAAACAAGGCTGTATGCCCATTAACAGACACATTTATAAAGAAAATGGTGTATCTATATGCAATGGAATAGAACTCAGCTATAAAAAGTGATAAATTAGAGACATTTGTAAGGAAATGGATGTTCCTGGAAAATATATATTGAGGAAGATAAATCAGACACAAAAGCATATCATACGATAGCTCTCATCTTAAAAAGGCAAAGTACAAACAAGCAAAATAAAGGATAGACAGAAACAAAGGGAGAGATTTTTTGCAAATGTGAAGGGCTCTGGGAGACTGCGGTTGAGGCAAGAGGGGGTGGAAAAGGAGAAGCAAGCATAGTCAAAATATAACATGTACTGAAACTATGAACCTCAAAGAATTTAAACTGTATGTGTCATAAACATGAGCTAAAAAAGATAATCACAAAAAGAAAAAAAAAGGATAGGTGACTTAGAAGCAAAGGGAGGGAAGCGGGTGGGAAGTAGAAGGGGATTGAGAAAGAAACAAGCTTTATTATGTACCTGTACCTTCTCCACAAGATGACTGTAAGACTCATGCCCTCAAAGCATGCACTAATAAAATGAAATAATTTTCAAAAGTTCATATGTTAAGCCCTCTTCAGGCTAATTTGTAAGAAGATAATGAAGGAGAATTTTCCTATTCTATCTTCCTTTGTTAACTGCCTCAGAACTGTTGTTATATGATTTAACAACCTGTCAACCTCAGACACAACAGAAATGTTATCTGACTTAGGCAAGATTTGAAGGATGAACATTGATTAAATATTGATATTGCAGTAGATCTACAGACCTACATAAATAGTCGTCAGGACCGCCGATATGTTGAGATATCCCTTCTACAGGATGCATGAGGACAAATTAAAAGAGAACTCAAATTGGTAATTGCTTTGGAGAAGTCATTAGCCATTGTGAAGTGCAAACAACATGGTAGCCCATTTCACCTGTAGAAGGCATTTCCTCTGCTCATCTTGCCCTGGGGGGCTTTATGTACTTCCTTACTTAATCACTAAGTTCCCCCTGCCTGTGGAGTAGCCAATTTTATTAGTGTTGCCCTAGAACTTTCAGTTCCACATTATTCCCTGGATACAAACTGGAGCTAAATGGCCACCCAGGCAACAGTTTCCAAGGAAACAGCTTCTCAGGCTAGATCCTATCAATTTTCTATATAAAATCATAAGAAAATGTATGAAAGGGGAAATACTGCCTGTGCTCTAGCAGACATAGCTGAAATTAGCTAAGTCATCCACTATTCATTCAAATCAGAACCGAAAGGCTTTACCATCAGATATGATTACTTTCTTTCCTTCACCTTCAGAACTGCAACAGGATGGAAGCAGAGAGATGTGGGCTGCTGTTTATTCAAGAGACTTTGTACCACGTGATTCTTCTGAAGTTCGCAGCTTTGCCTGTGTCTTGCAACTGCAGTTAGGGGCATGTAAGGAGATTTGGCAGGCCTCCTATTTCAGCCACGGCTGAAGGAGAATGATGATATCATTGATTAGCATCTGATACAATAGCTCAATTACTGTGGCTTTTAGAAATCTTTGATGTTGGTTGCCTGCGTGTGAGTTTGTCTTAAACTCTGGCTAAAACAAATGAGTGCTCCGCTGACATTCCAGCAGCTAGAGATTGATGGACAGTATATTTTGCTGTTTCTGGAACATCAATTTGCTTTCTGGCATCTGCTTTATTTAGAATATTATTGAGGATCTGTCAAATTAGCTGGCACATAATAGGCATGAAATACATATTTGTTTAATGAATTAATAATTGCCATTAATTACTGAAAGCAGACAAGATGTATTAGACAGTTTATTTATTTAGCCTATTTTGAGACAGGACTTCACTATGCAGTTCAGGCTGTTCTTGAACTCACTTTGTAGCCCAGCTGACCTCAGATTCACAGCGATCCTGCTGCCTTGGCCTCCCAAATTCTGGGATTACAAGCATGCACCAACACGCCCAGCTACATACTATAATGTTACCACTTTCATTTTGCAGTCAAGAAGTCTAAATTAGAATGTTACATGTGGAATTCAAAAGTCTAGGCTTTCTTTGTCCATTATCCATGTACATCTATTATGAACACATTGACAATTAATACAATTCAAAACATTTCTTTATGTAGAAATATGTAGGACCATAAGGAAAAGATGCAAATTCAAACATCACTTAGTATGGCTGGAATATGGCCCTATAATATATTTACTAAGTGGCCTTGAAAAGTTTGGTTTTCACTTGTACTGAGCCTCAGTTTTCTTGTCTATAAAATGAGTAATAGGAGCTGCTTCGTAACTTTGTTTTGAAGACTAGACAGATTCAGTGTCTCGTTATACCTATGTAATGTGCCTCGCTCAGAATCTGACGCACAACAAACTCAGCTCCAGAATTAGTTTTAGTCCATGTAGCTGGGCTGCTCACCAATAATTTTGCTTACTTACAGAGAATGACCTATTTCTTCTTGGATAACCAATCAGCATGTCACGGAGAGTCAGCAAGACAATCTTCTTCATTACTAAGTAAATTAAATAAAAACAAAAGCCCAAATGTTTCCAAATTTCTGGCCAAAATGAAGAACTCTAAGTCTTCACTGCTTCCTCCTGTAATGTTGGGTTATGGATGCTCATTTTCTCCTACAAAAAAAGGAAGACAGGTGACAGACAGACACAGACAGACAAACAGAGACAAAGACAAAATAGCTTCCCTTAGTATCCTCAGAACTGAAATGTTTTCACATTTTCCAAAGAACCTTTACTAAATGCCAAGAGAAAACAAGAAGTTTACATGTACCACAAACTGCATCTGCGTGCGTGCGTGCGTGTGTGTGTGTGTGTGTGTGTGCACATGTGCTGGTATGCAAGAATGCATATATGAGGCCCCCTGTTCTCAGAACGGATACCATTCGTGTTATTACTTTACTTTCTTAGCATAGCTTTTGGCCTCTTCTTTCATTGAGTATATACTTTATGACACACTTTAAATTCTTAGTGGAAATTGAGGATGATGATGATAAAGGTGCAGGTGGAGGTAGAATACACAGACAGGGGAGAACTGTGTTCCAGAATTGTGAAACCTATGCTATTATTTCTAGACCCAAAGAGATGACACCTCATCTTTCTCTCATCTTTCTTCATTCCACCTGGAGAAACTATCCTTTTTCTTACCACACAAGAGTTCATCAAAACTTTAACCCTCTCTGATTCAAATCATCAGCTCTTTCTGCTTATAAACCACTTCATCATTTAACTAAATGTCTTTAAATAGTCTTACCTATCATAGACTCAGAATGTCATGGTGTCGTGACGTGCCTTGATATAACACATATTTTTACAAGTCTGTGTCAGGGGTAGCCAAACATGGTGTCATACTCATGTCATTCTGGCACTCTGGGAGGCCAGAGAGGGAGCATCACTGGTTCAAGCCAAACCTGGGTAAATTAGAGATGTAGGGACACTCTGTCTCCAAAAACTTTTTTTTTTCAAAAGGACTTGGGATGTATTCCAGGCTGCGAAGATCTTGGGTCCCATCCCTATGCCCTCTATCTCCCTTTTAACTTCATAAAAGACATTAAAAGGCATTTGAGAAATATGTGAGTTGAGCTAATATAATTGACTCCATGCAATGGATTTTGAATATGAGAATTTAACAGCTAGAATAATGTAAGTCTATTTCTTGCCTCCTTTTAGCTGTTGTGTATGAGAATTCTATTTAGATACACATATTGGTCATTGATTTGTGTCAATATGGAAAAACTGACATGTATACTAATGAGCTAAACTTAACAATGTCTCATGTTGATTTATAGGGATTCAAGGATATTTCTCTTGAGAGATTCATCCATGGTGGAGCCAATGTTACAGGATTCCAGTTGGTAGATTTTAATACACCTATGGTGACCAAGCTGATGGATCGCTGGAAGAAACTAGATCAGAGGGAGTATCCAGGCTCTGAGACTCCCCCGAAGGTACTTCCTTTTGTGAATCTCATATGCTTCGGATATTTGTGAAATCATAACGTAAAAATTTCCTTAGGCCATTCTAATTTCTAAACTTCTATATTTAGGAGCAGAGTCGTTATACATTAACTCAAGGAAGTTATTGTTTTTAGTCATTTTATATATGAACTTACTTGAAGACATGATATGCTTTTAAAAGTTCATTAACTCTGGGCTGGGGAGATGGCTCAGTGGAATAAGCGCTTCCCTGGCAAGCACAAGGACCTGAGTTCAATCCCTGGTTCCACCAAAACAAAAACAAAAACAAAAAAAAAAAAAAAAAGTTCATTAACTAAGTAGTTCAACTATAAGTCATCATTATTAACTTCTCCAGCCAGGTAACTGCATTTGTAAAATAATTTATGATGAGAAGATAAATTAAGAAGTGGTTAGCAATGCAAGGGTAGAGCTTCTGTAACAATTTCTCTTTAAAAGTAACCGTGATAGTAATTTTTTCTGACACATGCTGCAGAAGGTTGTAATTAATATTTACAAAGAGAGCTGGTAAATTTCCCATTATCAATACAGATGAAAAGCTAGATGATTTTCTTAGACGCCACATAGACCATAAGGTCGGGCATAAGTTCTCACATAGTAAGGCATCACAGTCAACAGTATGGACACTGAGCACATTCCAGTAAAGAGTTCTAATTTATAATCAGGAAGTTTAAGCATAGAAAAGAGAGGCTTTTAGCTTCTCCATTTTCTAACCATAGGATTTTTCATTCTGGCTGCATCAGCTTCTCCTCTGAAATAGTGCAATCTCCTATAGCCTGTAGAACCATGGTGTTTTTCAAAAATGCTGTGTATTGAGTGTCCAGTATGTGCCAGGCACTATGTTTCTACCATCTAATTTTCCAGGTTAATACACAGAAGGCAAAAATGGCTGTGTTCATGGGCTGGCCTTGAGTTGAGGACCAGGTTCATGGAATGTCCAACACAGAACCATTTCACTGACCCCTAAACAACAACCTCCCACTAGACTTGTCTAGACTTCAGCTTTGGACCCTTTACCATATAAAAATCATATGTCCTTTTGTATGTTTTATCTGTGATAATTCTGCCCCTCTGTTATACTTGTTAAGATTTAAGCCAATTTCATAATGTTTTCATAAATACAGCACTTATTGTATACTCTAATGAATATGACTTGCAGATATAGCTAATTTTTTCAGCTCTTTGTGTGATTCTAGGCATTCAGAATTTGATAAATTTATTCAGACAATTTTCATGACTTGTGATGGTTAGTTCTATACCTGTTTTAAATAATGAATGAGCAAATATTAAACCTTTTCTCTTCAAAGAAAGATGGGCTGGTGTCTGAGCATGTAGTTACACCTTTAGCATCTAATCAGTACCGAACATTGTTTTATGTGTGTCTTGGTTTGAAGACGTCTCACTTAATGCACTTTTGATCCGTTAGCATTAAGCTAATGGCCAACACTTTTACCACTGTATTGTGCCTTTTTAATATGAATGTTTTCTCCATGAGGCACATCACAGCAGTCCTACACTTACGACACTAGACGGCACACCGCACTATGCTTTTGGCTCATTTCAAATAGGAAGATCACCAGCCGAAAGTAAACAATGAAGAGAACCAGCACTGATCCCAGCAGGGTTGAATGTTTATGGTATGAGAAGAAAGACAAACCAAAACAAACGAGAACAATGTTTCTCTGATCACAGCTGGAGCGTTTCATAATGCGTGGATCACATCTTTACTATTCCAAAAATGCCCACAAGTAACCACAAAAGTACAAATATTAATTTGCGGATCACAAATAAATAACAGCAACTAGGCAACTTTGCATGCCTAGAACGCACAAATAAGCATTGATTGCTTCCAAGATTTAGCTATTACAGACTGTGCTGTTATAAATATAGCTGTACATATATCTCTGTGGTATGACATTTTTAAGTCTTCTGGGAAATGGACAAAAAACATGTGGCTTTTTAATACACTAGAATACTACTCAGGCATAAAGAAAGATAAGCTTGGGACTTAATTTGTATTATTTTTTATGTATTTGTTATAGGGTCTTACTATGCAACTCAGACTCATAGTGATCCTCCTGTTTTCAGCCTCCCCAGTGCTGGAATTACAGTCATGTGCCACCACACCCAGTCTCAGTGGCCAACTCAGGATGCCCAGGGGCAGGACCAGCACAGCATGTGGTGCCAGGGATCGAATCCCAGTCCCTGTGCTTGCCTAAGCAGGCGCTTAGTCCACCGAGCTATCTCACTGGCCCTTGGGGCTTTTATAAGGAAATGGATACAACTAGAGATCATCCTCATAAATGAAATCAACCAGACTCATGTGTGTAAATGTTGCACTGTCTCCCTTGTGTGAGGAATTAAAAGAGTAAACAAGGTCCAACATGCACAATAGATATCATGCAATGGGAAGAAATAATTCAAAAGGAAGTAGGATGGGGGAAAGGATAAAGGAAGGGAAAAGGAAAAAAAAAAACAAAATACAAGTTATATTACTATCTCTCTCTTAGTTCATTGAAAAGAGAGGGTTGTGTTAATATCATTTGAAGAGCTTTTTGTGTCCCTACCTTGTACTCTGGCTAACTACTTCAAAGACAACAATACCCCATGTATTAACCATCATTATTCTTCTATTATTTTGTCATACGATTTGTTTTACCTTTTTCCATAAAATAAAAAAAAAGAATTGATTGCAATTATATAAATTACCTTTCAGTCACGTAGTATTTCAATCAAGATTTCTGGTCTTGTCACTTTGGGAATAAGGTCTTCCATGACACGGGGAAACAAGTCTCTACTCCGTTCTGCTGCTCCAGCAAAAACTCTTTCCTGTCCTAGTCTCACTTGGCACACACTGTGCTTCCGCCTCCCTGGTCCTGCACTTTCATTTCTGCCAGTCCAAATCCATCCACCCTCCAGAGCTTTCTATCAAATACCACTTTCTCTCAAAGCTTTTAAGAACTCTTCTCTGGCAAGTACTAACCTCGTCTCCTTTGTGCTCCTCACAATATCTGAGCATGTATTTCTTCCCAGGGACTTACCCCAATTCTTTATAGACCTGTTGCTTCATACCTGTAACTTATTTGAGGACAGTAAGTGGCTACTACTCACCCTTGTAGTCCTTAGGATTCCTAGCCAGGGTCTAAGTACATTTTTCAAAGCACATTCAGACATGGGATAAAATGTGCACAGCAGATAGATGTTATTACTTTATATTTGATTTTGTTCTATTTTGTGTTCCATAACTGAAGAATGTGTTTCACTTTCCCATAAACCTACATGTAACAGAATTCAAGTTCATCTCTGGTCTTTCTCTTCAGTGTCCCTGTTCTTTCCACTGCACTGATATTGTCCACCTCTGTCTTGTTGATCTACAAAGTTCGGGAAACAGAACTCATTCTAACATGCAGTTTGTTGGGCAGAGCAGTGAATGCCTACAGGCTTAAATCTAGTTTTGTCCTTCCCCTAAATTAGTTTAATAGAAATGTTCTAGGTGACATCTCGAAATTATGTAGCCATAAATATTGTTTCCTAGACTGTAACCCAATAAGGCACACAGGCAAGAATTACACTTACTGAAAAGCTGAGACTTACCTGAACTAGTGCTTCGTCCAGTCTGTCTGTTCTGTGACCTGTCGAGTTCTGGGATGCTCCTGCTCCAAATGAACCTCTCCTTTCAAGCAGCCCTCTCTGTGATACCTGCTCTTTTATCTAGTTCCCTTATTTTACAAAGATGGATGAACTTTAAAACCCAGCAAAGGCACTTGCATTTTTATGTCATCTCTTCTCAGCTTCTCTTTCCAAACTGAAAAAGCAACAGTGTTTTTCTTTCCTGGCTCAATCCTGAAATACTAGCACTGCGTTTTCTATAGCCTTGGTTATGGGCAAGTTTTAGCCTGTCTTGGTTTTGTTTTCTTACTTTACAAAAAGATGTGATACCTTTCTCCGCGACGTATGAGCTCAGGCACTAGAGGGAGGGTGCTCGTTTTCAGGCAGCTTCACACCTAGCATTTTGATTTCCCGCAGCCACCCCACGGCAGGTGTAACGAGCACGTCTGTGTTCAGCCTTCATGTCGTATTCTTGGGGGATACATAGCAAAGCTCCTAAATCATACAAACCCTTCGAAAACAAGCTTCATAGTTAGGTCCCCTATTATTGGAAGGCTCTTTGGTAGAGCTTAAGCAGTATTCTCTATTTTCTGTGGCCCTATGTTTTCATTTTTCCATTCCTTGGAGTGCTGGTTGTTCTGTGTTATGGTCATATTGGCCAGGCTTGCTTTGTCCAGTTGGAATTGCAAGTGTGTTTTCTGTATTTGTAAGCAGAAAGATCCAAGAGAGCATCCCCTCCCTGCCTTCCACAGCAAATCCTACCCATTATTCGGGTGTAGGAAGTCTTAATCCTATGGAACGAACCTTGGAGAATTCCTGAGAGAAGTGATAGAGTTGACACTGTCCTGTACTTCAAGACAACTGAGCCACATTTTCTAAGCAGGCATTAGCTTTCTAATCATTATGTTCAAACTCTACCAAAGACAGTCCCCCGTTCTGTGCACTGATGGTGCAAACAAGCGCTCAGGCTTTCCTTGTTCCACTCTCACCTTGCAGGAGCTTTTCTGGAGGCACACTGTGCGCAAGGTGAGGCAGATGGCCTGTATTGCACCTCTCCACCTTGCTTCTAGGTTACGTGGAAAACTCAGAAGAAGTGACTTAACCCTGCTGATCATCGTCAGCAAATATAAAGTGGCTTGCAAGTCACTAGGTTGCCTCAGCTGGGCTCAGACGTGGAGTTCCTCTCCTCAGCCTTCCAGAGTTCTGGGGCTACAGGGATGAACGACATCTCCAATTAAGATACTCATTTTTATTTAGGGTGATGACTAGGGAAAATACATTTGCTAGTAGACTAGGTGTTCTTTATGATGGTGTATTTTAATAACAATAAACCATCCCACCAATTCTCCCAGGAGACTAAACAAAGATGCACACTTTAAGGCCATAAATATAAATTAACCAAACAATCCTGGTAGGTATCATGAAAAGAAAAAGAGTAAGACAGCCCAGCCTCTTGGGGTTTGACTACTGCAGTGAGCTAGAAAGAAAATGAGCAATGCTGCCCTTAGCATTTTTTTCTTAGCACTTTTTATAATTGGACACAATGTAAAGTGCTCACTTGACACGTTGCTTTACCCAACTGAAGGGAAATTGCTCATTAGAATCTCTATTTTTAAAGTGCTTTTTCTCCTTTTAAAATCATGATGGTAATATGGTGTACAGTTTTTGTATTCAAGTAAGAGTAGAAATTTCTACCACGGTCCATTAATTATTACTAATTCAACTACAATGCCTATAGGATGGTGCTTTTGTCAGAAACCCACAGAACCTCAAGACTATTCCTCAATGAGATTCTTAATGTCTACCATTATGGTCACTTTCATTTGATTAGTACACCTCTGCTCTAACCTACGATGGTGTCCTGGTGATGGCGGAAACTTTCCGAAGTCTTAGAAGGCAGAAAATCGATATCTCGAGAAGAGGAAATGCTGGGGACTGTCTGGCAAACCCTGCTGCTCCGTGGGGCCAAGGCATTGACATGGAGAGGACACTCAAGCAGGTAACTCCCTCTGTCAAGTGGGTTGTTTAGGAACACAGGCATTTTTCTAAGCACCAATACGTATTACAATGGCCAGTTTAGTACATCAAGCCATAATCATTGTTGAAGCGACGGGAAAGGTATCCTAAGCAGAACACAGGGCAAAATCCTGATGCTAATATCTTCTGTAGGTGCGAGGCTGCCAGATCGGCAATGTCTTCAGCTTGCTGTCCTCACTCAAGGACATGCAGGCTCACAGAGCAGCCACCATCTCAAGTGCTGCTCACCTACCCCGCTGGATCCCAACAGATAGTGCTAATTTACAGCTATGCATCCTGCATGGCCCTACACCAACCAGATGAAGGTCAAGTTTTTCTACATGAAGTGGCGAGTGAATACATGTGGAATGTTGTTTTTCCTTCGTAGGTTCGAATTCAGGGGCTGACTGGAAATGTTCAGTTTGACCACTATGGACGTCGAGTCAATTACACAATGGATGTCTTTGAGCTAAAGAGCACAGGACCTAGAAAGGTGAGCCACTGTCAGACCGAAAGATAGAACATTCTTGGCCAGGCCTGCTGGTGCACACCTGTAATCCCGGCCCTCTGGGAGCTGAAGGGGGAGGATTGCCAAAGCCAACCTAGACCTCATAGTGAGACTCTGTCTCAGAAAAACAGATAAATTAATAGCAATAACTTTTCAAGGTTTGCACCTGGCATTTTTAAAGGCTTATAGGAATAAAAACTGGTTATTCTATAATATTTAATGTATTTACAAATAAGTACTTTCTTGATCATCTGTACTGGTCAACTTTCATGTCATATAATTGATACTGTACGGTGTGCTAAAGCTGAATCAACTAATTCATATACCACTCATAACCTTCATTCACAATGGAAGCAATGGGGGAAGAGTGCTCACCTAAAAGCAAGAAAGAAAATCCCACAAAGTACAACTTACTCAGCAGGAAAGAGTGCACAGCAGTACCATATCCACATATCATTTATGAAGTCATCAGAGAGAGGCAAATCATACTAATCCTTTTAGTGAGTGAGCATCTTCAGAGGAGATTGGAGGTTCTGAGGGTAAATCAGTAGGTGAATGCAAATGAGCAAAGAAAAAAGTAAAAGAAAGACAAGAGTATAAAATTATTATTGGGCAGAGAAGGGAAAGAAACACTTCTGTTGATCAGGAGGCTGCTAGGTTCAGAAACTTGGCCCCAGAAAGTAAGCCCTAACGTGTGGCAAGTATGCCAACAGTGTTCCAGAAAGTGCGTTATGCACTAAGACTATACAACCCACCCCAGCAATTAGTTGTGCATTGACAAACAGGATCTTTAACTGTTTTTCAAAAAACAGCTAGCATATCAAAGAAAGAGGAGTGGAAGTTAGCCTTGTCTACAAATTCTTTCAAGATTTTGCTGTTTAAAAAGTATTTCCAAACCAGGGAGATAGCTCAGTGGAACAAGCACCTGCCTGGCAAGCACAAGGTCCCAAGTTTGATCCCCAGTACCGAGAGAGAGAGAGAGAGAGAGAGAGAGAGAGAGAGAGAGAGACAGAGAGAAAGAGTTCCAAAACACAGTCCCTTGCCTTAATGTAATAATAGCAGCTACAATTTATGAAATTACTGCTAGGTCTCAAGTCTGAACTTGGTGCTTCACATAATATAACTCTTGTAGCAAATCTGTAAGTTGAATATTATGATTTTTGTAAATTTATGTATTTAGTACAGGGTCTCACTATGTGGCTCAGTCCTGTCTCAGCCTCCCCAGTGCTGAGATTACAGACGTACACTACCACGCCCGGTCTTGGTGACCGGCTCATGGTACTCAGGAGGTGGGACCTGCACAGCATGTGGTTCCGGAGATTGAACACCGGTCCCTGAGCTTGCCTAAGCAGGTGCTTAGTCCACTGAGCTATCTCACCAGCCCTCTTATAACTTGAATATTATACCCATTTTTCAGAAGAGAAAGTTATAACCCAAGAAGTTGTGGTTACCTGTCTAATGCCCGTGTCTGGAAAAGCAAAGATTTTAATATTTAGACATGTCTGGTTCTAGAACCTTCCTACACTATACCCTGCCTGAGTGGACCCTGCTCCGAGAAGCTTGCTTTCTAGTAGAGTAGGGTAGATGTGCCACCTAAGGTAAGGACATGCAGAAATTCTAAAAGAAAGAGTCTGCTTGCAGCTGGAGGAAAACGCATTAGGAAAGGCTGCAGAGGGAGGAGGAGTTGAAAGTTAGCCACGTAGCTGGAGTTCAAATAGGAAGAAGCAGCAATCAGGAAAAAGGTTTAGAGGCAGGATGGTTAAGGCCACATGAGGGAAAGGACGCTATGCCATTTAAAGAGTTGTCCCGCTGCACCCTGCCACGTGGGCGTGCTTCCCCCCAACCTGAGAAGCAGCAACTTGGGGCTGCCCTGAAAGCCCTCTCCAGCCTGCCAGCTAATCCGTGGCAGGCTGCCGTCTATCCGGCCAAGATTACATAGGACAGGAAATGAATGACAGCAAAGGACACCCAAGGGGCACCACCACAACAGGAGTCTTCTGAGGAGCCGTGCGGAAGCAAGGGAAGAAGACACCCAGAAGAAACCCCCTGGGCTCTGCATCGGATCCCGCGTACCGCTGCATCAGCGCGCTGCCCGCAGCCGGGACGGAGAGGTGGGATTAGGCAGTGTCCCTCTGCGAGGTGTGGGGCAGGCGGAACACTACATCCGGCCTTAAAGACTTTGCTAATGGATGGGCAGTGGGAAGTCAGACCACATTTCTTCCATGTTCCAGACCTTGCCAGCGTATTCATTTAGCACAAGCTTTTTCAGTTCAAAAGACAGCTCCATATTTTACAAACCATTAAGTACAGGAAGTCAAATGGTTCTACATAAAAGCAGGAATCTCAGAGAAAGGAAGCAGGTGGAAATGAGCAGAAGTGTCTAGCGGGGCTATTCATAACACTGAATCTTTTTAGGACCCGTTTCACTGTAGTGGTAACAAAAATTAAGATTTTTGTTTTGGAGAACGTGAAAGAGTAAGTTGGCAGAGTAACAAGCCCTGCATCTTCATGCCCAGCTGACCTTCATCCTAGGCTGTAAAGAAATACCAAGTGGAAAATCGTGTAGACACCTCCGTCTTCGTCTTCCTGTGCCAATGACCAACTTGCACATTCTGACGGGAATGTTAAGCTTAAAAATAAGCTACCACAAGAAAAAGCATGCTGGCAAGACCAGGCAATAGGCCTCAGAACAGAGCCATCGTTCTTGTAAATTGAACACCTGCCTTCAGGGAGTGATTTTTGAAATAAATTAGCAAGCCAAGCCATGCGTTTGTCTCACTTCACTAACAAACTACCTGACTCTCATTAAGCAAGGGACTCAAAGCTCTTGCTGAAGTCTAGACCCTAAGGAAGGTTTTGTGAATTCTTAATTATAAACAATTCGTTGACCTAGGAGCAGGTTTACACCAGGTTCTGGCATGGAAAATCGATGTGCATTTTTATTTTTAATCCTCATAACAATGTAAAAATAAAATCTATATTTCCTCTCACTTTATAGAAAAGTAAGACTTGGATTACCTAAATATCCTATCCAGTTAGAAAGAAGTGGAGCTGGGATGGAAACCAAAATTCTAGGGGCTCCAAAGCTCACTCTCTGGACTGCTATAAACATCTGTTCCACTGCCAAAAAGATTCCCATTTAGAGATGATATGACAAGCCAGATTTTCAGCACAGCTTTAGAAAAAGCAATTCTGCCTGAACCAACTTTGAAAAGAACAGGGTCTTTATAAGACCTCAATCCCAACCTCAACCTTATTTTACAAACCAAATGAAGCGTAACTACAGATGCTTATATATACACAATTTATTCTGGCAATAGTTGTGCAAATTCTTCTTTCAGGCCCAGAGATAAATATTTTTATAACATCTTTTGCCAAGTTAATGATCTGAATGCCTCCATACTTTGGAATCTTCTGCACATTCACAATATAAAACTGCTGTCATCCAATTTGTACCTCTAGGAAAAAAAAACAATGTTTTTCCTTAGTAAATTAAGTGAGGTCAGACAGAAGTGTTGAGTAAAATACAAAATGTTTGGAAGAACAAGAGAGAAAAGTTTCATCTCACACAAGATTTTAGATCGAAGCTCAGGATTGCTTTCTTTAGGAAATTATCTGTGTGCAGACTCTCCAGTGACTCCGCCGCCCTCACGAAATCTGTCATAAATGTGAGCCACATTATGTAGTGTGGCTTTGGTTTTCACCGTAGTTCCATGCGGATGTAAACCAAGCAGATAACTTTTTGGTTTTGCTTCTCATTTCCTAGCGCTAGCACTTCAGAACCATTTCTCTTTTTGAGAGGGGTCTCTGTGATCACACAGCTTCAGTGAAATGTCAAGCTCTTTCCAATAACTAGAGACTCTTGAAAATGCGTCTCAGGGCTGGCATTTTTTTTCTGTTGTGAGACTAATTAATAAAGGCAGAAGGTTTTGCTGAAAGTAGGCTGCGGCGATGTGTACTGTGGCTGCACAGGTAAGAAAATGCAAACTGTGAAACCTAGTTTCATTTCATACAGCTGTCATATGGAAAAAAGGACCAGCAGGCAGCATCTGAAGGAAGGGAGGGTCTTGAAAGTATTTTTGTTTTTAAATTACATTTTTTCTCTCAAAATTGCTAAACAAATAGCAGCTAGAAATAAATGTTTTTGTATAATTGAAAACAATTGCTGAATTAATGTATATCATAATTGAGGATCAAACCAAGTACCGTAAGGCATACAAATGAAAATTATTTCTCAGCTGTCCTGCTATTGAATTACATATATGCAAAATTTGTGAATAAGATAATGATTCTTTGTGGCATATTAATGGTTGTTTTATTTTAATGTGTTGCTAAATAGTAACATGGCAGTTGAAACAGAGGGCAGCAAAGACTTCTAAAACATAGAACAAATAGTTAATATGGCAGTAAGTGAATGCATACATTTTATGGAGACATAAGCTTTTATCAACACCATCAAGAAATCTGTTTGGGGGCCACAGAGACAGCTCAGTGGTCTAAGCACCCGCCTGGAAAGCCCAAGCACCTGACGCCGATCCCCAGTACCACATGCTGTGCAGGTACTAAGAGTGGGCGTGGTGGCACAAGCCTGCCATGCCAGTGCTGGGGAGGCTGACACAGGAGGCTCACTGCAAGACTAAGTGAGACCCTGGACCAAATAAATAAACTTTAAAAAAAATTGAAAAGGAAGGTTGGCAAACATATGAACATAGGAGCAACATATTACCAAACTGGTGTCTTTAACCTGGTCATTTGATCTATATTATGCTAAGATGCAGATAAAAGCCAGGTTTGTGTGTGGTCCTGCCTGAAAGCAAGCATGCAGTAGGTTGCTGCCATGGCTGTCATTTAAGGGTATGCGCGACTCAGAGAGTCCTAAATTTCTAGTAAGATTTCATTGTAGTTTGCTATTTTTTACTCTACTTAATTACTTAATGTACATTATGGAAAGACAGTTCACTTCTCAATGATAAAATATGATAATATTTTAAGTCAAAATATATATTTAAGTTCAAGATTTGAAAATGAAAACAGTGTACATTAATGCTCATCATTGAGGTAAGTAGCAATTTATAAAAAGGACTGTATGTCTATCCAGGATTAGGTTATATCAAACCAAGAGCCTTTTCTACATGGCTTAAAAGATGTACAAATTTCTTTGGCTTGAAAGTATCCTTTATACATCTGAGTCTGCTCTTTATAATATAACTCATAGCTTTATCAGTAAGATCATGTAATTAATCTTCAGAGCAGTACTTCTTCATACTAAAAGAGAGGGAACTTGTCAATGATGTTCCATCTGCGCCTGTATTCCCTTTGGGATCACTCTCTCATGTCTTGGCTACTGTATGATTTGCTAAATAGATAATATGGCAGTATCTTTTAACAACAACAGAATGGTTTATCAGCAAATTTTAAAGCTTTCACTTTTTTTCATCCCCTCTAAATTTATTCTGGATGCCTATTTACTTACACCATTTGTCCCAATAAGAACTAGAGTATATTCTTCTAAAATACATTTTTAGAAGTCTTTCTGTATTCGGCAGGTTGGTTACTGGAATGATATGGATAAATTAGTCTTGATCCAAGATGTGCCCACTCTTGGCAATGACACAGCTGCCATTGAGAACAGAACAGTGGTTGTAACCACAATTATGGTAAGTTTTGGTGTATGCCTTATGGTGTTCCGTTTTGTCCACAGGCAGCTTTAACTCCCTAGCTACGGTACAGAGTTAGGATCAAACCTGAATCTTAATGGCTACATAGGTGCTCTGATCCGCCAAAGTCTATCAAGGCTGTCAGTAGGTTTGTCCTGAGCTTTAAGTACATTCAGTACTTGTCTTTATGTGACCTTTTATTGCACTGTTTTTGGAAAAATGCTTAGATGTTAAAAACTGATACTGTCAAACTCTAGATGAAAATGTATGAAATACTAAGACCCAAATACAAAACACTAAACATGAAAATGGTCAACATCCACTCATAAAAATACCTAATGGTAACCAGCATATTATTATTGTTATTATGTTTTTTCAGAACATCCATGTAATAATAGTAATATTTAAAATTATAATTTTCAGGTAATTTAATCATCCAATAATTTGCATTGTCTGTTTATAATGTGTAGATTTTAATGGGCATGTTTTACATAACTGAATGCTCTAGAGATTAATTTTACTTTATAATTATTTTTAATGTTAAAGGGGCTATTCTACACTTACTATTCTTCTCATTGACCAGGGAAAAATGCACATATAACTCTATTGGGCTTTCAATAATTAAGAAAAATGTGATTGCTTCATTCAGTCACATTCTAAACTAACACTATCTTTTAAATAATAGGATATCTTATATATTTGCCTCTTCTAAAGTCAGACATGCCCTTTAGAATCAGTTCTAGTCAAAGGAGATCAACAATCGGTGACCTTTTCTAATTTAAAGATATTTATCCTCAGCTTTCTGTCTCTGTAGGCAAAGCATATTATTAATTATTTATGAAAGCACTTACTCTAAATACAATGAAAGCATTTTACGTAATTTAGTTTTTAGCTTACACAATTTTAATTTTTAATTTTACGTTTTTAGTAACATCAAGTTGTTTCTAAAACTGACACTGAGGTCAAAGCATGCAAATACCAGAGAGAAGCTTTCATATGTCGCAATTGGTTACCTCTGTGTCAGATCACCAGTTAGCAATTTAATGTAATTTGACAAGACTTGATTGGGAGTTTATGATTTTAAGATGCAAACCTACCAACAGCAATGTTCATGTAAACCTTCTGACTTAATTGTGCAATGTCTGCATGGGACTTGAAAGCAATATATATATATGTATATATTTCTTTTCCTAAAAAAAGACACAGTAATGGAAATTCAAACTTCAGTACAGTCCTCCTCTTTTCAGCCTATGATGAAGAATCCTATTTTAAGAAATTGACCAAGAAAGAAAAGAATTCCGCGCTCTTCGACCTTTCCTAAGGCATCAACCTTGTTCTCCTGGGTAGTCATTTTAAGCTTATTTTTCATACGGGATTCTTGTTGGATGATCAACTCTGGACTACCAGAAAACAATTTTTTTTAATTACCTGTGACTTTTCTGAGATACTAGAGCAAAAGAAGAAATAATATGCATCTTTCTCAAGGAAAATAGATGTTGAAAAACAATCACTTAACAATTCTGAAAAATGATTTCCTATATTGTGAAATGAGGTCATTGTGCATAAGCCATAGAATCAGACCACTCCTATTGGCCAGGGTAGATTTTCTAAAAGTAAAAATCGCTGAATTTGTGCTTGTATTCTGAGTCTATACAATTGTTTTCTTTAGAAATTTTTAACAATTTGCCTGTTTCGTGTGAAATAAGATGTGTTAATGTATGTTATAATGTAAAAAATTTCCTTTCCATCCCTGTTACTAACAGGTTTGGCTAGATTCTTCAAACTGCAATAGTTAATTTTGCAAGCATGGCTAGTTTTCAGGAAGCATGCTATCAAAACTAAGTAAAAATGATTAAAACATCCAACTGTTTCCTATAGATACATGAAGAATATTCTGTAAAATTATCTGATGTTTGATTGATGCCATCAATATCTTTACGATCAAAAAAGTGTAATGCTAGCCTCTGTCTTTGTATACAAATGTAATCTTCATATCAGTAACACCTCTGGTATTTGCAGCTGCATAATCATGCAGTAATTCAAAGAGATACGCTCGAATCATTTCTCTATAAGTACTTTGTATTAGGTTTGTTTGAAAATGGCAGCCTCATACCTATGGTCGTTCCATCACCTCATTCACTTTGAAAGAAATATTATTCCTTGGAGATGAATGAGGTGTGGACCCCTGCATGTGCTAATCCCCGAAGTTCAATTAAAAATGCCCAACACAGATGGAGTTGGCCAGACATTGTACCATGCGCAATACAGATACCTCGTTTCAGCCAAAGGCTGACAGTACAGCAAGGCATTCGTTTTCATGAATATTGACATGGTGTTGCTGTTTTTCCTTTGTCTTTCCTTTGTGTATGCTGTTATTTATATGTCAATACACTGTAATTATATATGCTATTAAATAAAATTGATTGAGAAATTCAGTTATTCACTCATAAATATTTCTTGAGCGTCTGCTGTGTTAGGCACAGTTAGAGTCTGGGGATGTTTCAGTTGAAAACAACAGAGAAAATGTGGCACGAAGGGAATTTATGTCCCAGTGAGAGTTAGTGGATCAAAAACATAATTCATAATTATGACTTTTCATCTTTCAATAAAATGGGATATTAGTTTGCCTACTGTTTAAAATTTATTTTTCTTTTATGAATTTTTGTATATTTATCATGTGACCTTCTTAATGATAGATACTTTTGAGTAAAGCTTACTAAATACAAATAACATGGCTTAATCTAAGTGGAAAACAAAATTGATGATGTCATAATCTTTATCTTTATTGACTAAAAATCTTACACAGTCTGTGATATACGTGACGCTATGATCAAATCGGTTTATCTTTTTGCATTCATAGTAATAATTTTTATGAGCTGCCTAAGGAAGCCGGCTCTGTGGCATGTGGTTAGAACAGGCACAGCGTCTGAGGAAAAGGCTGTGCGCAGTAGGATGTGAGGGAGCAAGACATGGTGACATCCGCCGTAATCTCGTTCCTTTTATTGATTATTTGACTCTATAGAACAAGACACTGCAGTGATATTTGAGGCAAACCCTTTTCCCTCAGAGCTTTACTGGTGCAGCTAAAGGCTGCTTGGGCGGCATTTCTCAGCTACGGGAATATTTCTTATCAGCTTATGAATATAGTAATCCTTTAGGATAAGTTTCCATAAAGTCAAATTTATTCACTACAGAATCTAAATTATTTTACAAGTCTAAAAGCAATTTTACTTATCCCACTTGATCTTCCAGAAGTTATTTTTATAGTTTTTGAGTTATTTGATAGCTTGTAGATACACAATTCATATTTACAAATGCATGTATAATTTTATGCACATTTACATTGCCACACAGTATATAAATTCGTGTACATTTGTACATAATATATGCATTCATGTATGCTTATACATAATATGTATGTTATGAATATATACACTGAAACTTAAAATTTTTCCTTCCTCATCCCAAATAATAACTCTCACTTTCACATTCACATCTTATAAAAGAGCTTATAACTCAGTTTGCTTGAAAATATATTTTTTTGGCTAAATTTAAAATTATACAACCATCCAATCCATTTACTTTTCCCAAACTGAATGATCACATCAGAATTTCAGTTTTTAAGAATTTAATTTGTGGAATAAATTATGTATATGCATTAACATTCTTTGGAAAAAATCAAGTATCCACATAGAAAACAAAGACTGACACTAGTCATCTTATTCTATTGATTATTTTAATAGTAATTATAAGGGTTATTTGTGATATTCAGAAAATCTTGAAACTTTTCCAGTCAGCATCTCATTTGAACATTTTGTTTTGCTAAATACAAATAACATTTAAATTTTTAGTCAGTAGGAAAATTATACTCTATTGGTTAAAAATCATCTAAATCCATTTACATAAACATTTTCATAACCAAATCCTAATGTAGCTACTTTAGGCAGAGAGTGATTTCTTTTCTGAAATAACAGAGCAGATGTAAGACACCATCTATTATGAAAATTGTCTTAACTTGTTATCACTAAGAAGTAACGCATGTAAAATCGGTTCTGAGGAGCTAGTGTCCTACAGAGCGCAGTAGCTGATAATAAGGAGAGAAGATTACACTACTTAAAAAAGAAGTAAAACACTATATTTCACTCATTCTTCCATTTTTATCCACAAGCAAATACTAGGCATTCTACCATATTACTGTGCAAAAATGCATTTGCCCTTCATGTTTGCAAAATTTCACTTTATTATATTGAAGCAATTTCAATAGTTTGTTCCCCTATAGTAAACCTAGAGCTCTCTCCACAGTGTGTACTATTTAACAAGCCTCACGCAGACTGCGTGCGTGGCAGCTTAGGGTTGGGTGAGTGCAGTTTGGAGTGTGAAGATCTGCTACTGCTTTCCTTGGCTTTGATGTGAAAGAAAAGCAAACAAGGCCCACTCAAAGCAAGTGGATAGAGCTGAGCAGCCCTGCCAGCTGCCGTGCAGGAAAAGCCTCACCTTTCTGCCCTGACAGCGCGAGCACCTTTTTTTCTCTTACGCTTCCTACATGTCACCTGTTTATGGCCCTGCTTACGTGAACAGGCTGGGGAAATATCTACTCAACATCTTCAGGAAGCTACAGGGGTTTTGTAGCTTTGTTGGCTGGCCTTGGCTGGAAAACAAAGAGCCAACAGCCGACGGGTTCCAGCCATACAAAATACTGGGGGTAAAAATGATAAAGAAGACACCGAATACATAGTTTATTCATGTATGCATACACCTGCTTCAGGAGAGATGATCTAGCTCTTCCAAATGCTTAGCTTCATTTTGAAGATCTAAATCAGAAGGTCTAGTGCAATTATGCATGCTCTGGTTTCTCTTCTGATCATTTATATCATTTGCCTTTTACTAAGGCAATTGCATAGCAATCGTATTCCTATGCAGGAGGCACTGAAGACCAGGATACTGTGTATTTATTGAGTGCTTTGCATGGGCCACACACCGTGAGATTAAATGCAATTGCTGTACCTATGTTTTTACCAAAGAGATTATAGAAAGAATTTCATGTTCTAAAGATACAGGAGTGCATTTCTTTTGTTCCCTCTTTTGTTAAGCCACTTAAAGTCTCAATCCTGCACACAGTTTCAACCAATTCCAGATATTTCAAAATGCAGGCCAAACTCTCACTCAGAGGGAGTTAGCCCACTTACTTGTTTTATCTGTAAAACTGAACAATTGCTTCCCCTCTGGAGTCTTAGTTTTCCCATCTGCAAAATGGGAAATTTCTACTTCCTAGTGCCAATGTACAAAGGAAGCCAAAGGACTTAATTAAAGAACTTAGTGCAATGACTGGCACAGAGCAAACAGTAAGATTTATTTATTTATTGCTGATTCTCGCTATTCATACTCCTTTCATCTTATTACAGAGAATTTGTAGTGACTTTGAACAGTAGGACAAGGCACATTTATAAATTTTCTAAAATTAAAGGTCGTGTCCCTATCTCCCAATCAACTGCCTGACCTACCGTGGGTGCTTCATAAATGCTTGATTAAACAATAAACATACAGTTTTTAATTAAGAAAAATTTCATTAGATTATGAAGAGGGAATTTAGCAGTTAGGTGTTCTGTTAGCTAGAGAAACTCGTACACACCTTAATATGGTAGCGGAGGTAAGTGAGGGGTGAGACTCACCAGTGTTCATAGGCTCAGACTCCGCAGAACTGACTTTCTTTGTTAGTACCCAGTGAACCTCAGCAGCACACCTTGCCAGGGAATTGTAAGCTCTCTACGGATGCCGGCTGTTCATTGCCTTAAATCAGAATGCAAAGCAATTTACAAATATAGGAATTTTGTTTTTTCCTACATAATCTTCCACATGATCTGCCATAAATAGGTGTAACTAGGTAACTATTTTAAAAAGGAAAACAGAAGAATTAGCTCACACTTGCATATATTTTATGGCATGTTTTAGAAATTAGCAATCCTTTGTGGCACCTGGTCCATCTTCATAATCACATTTGTAAATTCAAATGCTACCAATATAGAAAAGGTTTTCTATTAACTAATAATTTTCATCTATCTAAAGAAAAGGCCATTGCTTGCCTTTATTTTACAGGAGGTAGAGAAACATTGTTTGATCAACTTCAGTATTAAAATATTCATCAAAATCACAGAAGTGGGACCCTCTGGGTCATTTGGTCATCCCAGTCATGGGCAGACTCTAAGAAAATTGTACAAAGACCACTCCTGGAGAAGTCTACTCTGTAGAATTATTTAGACCATCTCTACTGGAAAATGAAATGTCATGCAGGTTATGCATTTTATTAAGTGTTGCCAAATAAAGTTCTACACTTATGAAAAACAAAATCAGAATTAGTATAAGACTGTCGTATTATGAAAATAAATCTCTCTAATTTAGAATTCGATAAACAAGTGCCACACACAATCATGAATTTTCTAGGGGAAAATAAAGACTCCTAGGTCCATTATGAGCTGGGTGTGGTAGTGCACACCTGTAATTCCAGCCCTTGGGAGGCTGAAGCAGGAGGATCACTGTGGGTAGGAGGCCAGCCTGGGCTACGTAATGGGTACAAGTCCAGATCGACCTACACAATGAGACCACATCTGGAAAAAAAAAAAAAAGTACTAAATAAAGGGCACACAGTACTGTTCTATAGAAATCAAGTATATTATGTCACTAATACAGCACCCAAAAGGGGTCAGTCCTTCTCTGAAAAATGACTAGAAAAGCTGGGCATGACTAAGAGTTTTATCCTTCCTGCACACACACCAGATTTTAGGTGTTATTTACAAACTAAACACACTTTTGTGAACAAGTCTTTTTAAATACTTTGGCATATGAGTGTGGGGGGGTGCTGTATGTATTTCAATTAAAAGTTCTTGGGTAATCATTAGCTACTGGTAAATGATTTCTTTTCTAAAGGACATTCACGATAATTTTTCATCCTATTTTTTGACTCAGTTACTTAAAAAGCTAAATGGGACTATCACAACTGGGGGAGATTGCTACCCTCCATTGGGACATATTTTATGATAGACTTAAAAAGTCATGAAGACCAGTTAATGGTAAAGCATTGAGCATTATTAGCAAAACAAATTTATATGATTTTTGAAGTATTAACTTATTTTTGTTGAATGCTTATGCAGCAAATGAGTGTTGTTTTTAAACATTAGTGATCACAGAAAAATTGTACAGGACTTTTCTTAAAAGACTTAGTGGAATGAGGCTAAAACATGCAGAATATGGAGATATGCGATCTTGAATGTGTTATGTATTATGAAAAGTTGAATATTGAACAATTTTTAATTTCATAATATATGTAAGGGAGAATAGCTTAATTTTCAGAGAGGATAATTTATGCTTCCCTAGAAAATTACCAATGGGCAGTTTTCCATTTACAGTCAGTATTGCCTAATTATTACTCAATTTAAAATTATTTTAATTACTTTGCTTTCAGTATCCAATATAGACCAATTTAATATACTTGTAAGTGTATTGATAGCTATTTTATTATTTATTTCTAGCACGTAAAGTCATATGTATGTAGTAGTAAATGTCTTATTTCTCAAGTTCTGAAACTGAAGTTACATAAAGACTTCCAAATGTTTTGTAATTTCTCCTTTACAGTTCTGCTTCTCTCATTATAGGAATCTCCGTACGTTATGTACAAGAAAAATCACGAAATGTTTGAAGGGAATGACAAGTACGAAGGATATTGTGTAGACCTGGCATCTGAAATTGCAAAACATATTGGTATCAAGTATAAAATTGCCATTGTCCCTGACGGAAAATATGGAGCAAGGGACGCAGATACAAAAATCTGGAATGGGATGGTAGGCGAGCTTGTTTATGGGGTAAGCAAATCAATTTATCGAGAAATCTACTCACACTAGCATCAAGCATTTTCACGTGGACTCACCGATTTTTAAATGTCTTTCACTCTTTTTTTCAATCCATAGCTATGTTCCAAGAGCCATGAATGCTATTCAAATGTTTCCCTATTTCCTTGAAAATATAATTTCTAAATAATGTAACTGACATTTGATAACTTCAAAGTCAGAAAAGGAATACTGTCTACTTAAAAAAAAAAACAACAAAAACAGTAATGTAGTCTTCAGAGTCCCTTAACTTAGACATTGTTATGCCCTAGAACCGCTCTGGGGGCCAGGGAGATGGCTCAGTGGAATAAGCACCTCCCTGGCAAGCGCAAGGGCCTGTGTTCAATTCCCGGTTCCACAAAAAAAAAAAAAAAAAAAAAAAAAGAACCACTCTGGTAAATCTATTATTTGATCATTGTAGGAACAGATTTCTTTCAATCATGTGATGTGGGTTATTGTTTTGGCTAGTTATCTATGACTCTGTTATTTGTAAATAATCACAAACATCGTTTAAGTAATTTGATGATTACTATGCTAGTTCATGTAAAATGTCAATAATTCAATATTTTTATGTCCTGAGAACACAGTACATTTAAACTTTGTGTAGCATCATCACTTTTCGTACTTGCATACATCACAAAACACAAAAGCTACAAATGTGTCTGAACCGAGCCTCCCGCGGAGCACGCGAGCCCTGCGTGGAGGCAGCCAGGTGTTGAGCGCTCCCGTGGCTAGCCAAGGGCAGGTGTAGCCCTGACAATACTGCCTCGACGAGCCAAAGAGCAGGATTGTTCTCTTGAGCTACCACTGCCGCGTGCAAATGAAATTGGCACTTAGCCACTGCTAGAGATGACACAGTGTTTTAAAAGTCGACAGTCCAAGCCCATCACTCACAGTCAGCTCTGTCAGGTGACGAAGAAAAGTACCATAGACTTGAAATACAATCCGAGGTTTCCCGAAAGCCCATTCGTATTTAACAGATTTAGCTTTCAAAGCACGCGCCTGATTGATCCTCGCCAGGCCCCTTTGAGATGATTAATGACACTGAGAGTCATCCTTCCCTGGAAAAACAGTGAAGACAGGAAGACACAGAGCACAGCTGAAGCCCATGAGGGTCGTGCTTTCCCGGTCTGCACTGCAGGGCAATCGTTTCGTGAGCCTGCACCTTGCTTCTCAGCCCAGGAAGCAGTGAGCGTGTCCTGCACGGTACAGCAGAGTGGATAAAGCCTCGGAAGAAAGGGGACATTGTTTGACATTATAAAGCAATGAGTTTTATATCCACAAGAAAGAATTGATGGCTACTCAGATGACGCTACAGGAGGGGAGAAAAGGAAGTTCTCAAAAGAGGCAAAACAGGCCGGCGAGATAGCTCAGCAGTCTAAAGCTCCTGCTTAGGCAAGCTTAGGCAAGGGCGCAAGGACAGCGGTTCAATCCCCGGCACCCCATGCTGTGCCAGTCCCGCCCCCAGGGTGAGCTGAGCCGGCCACTAAAATAAAATAAAATAGGCAAGGATTGGCCAAAGAGCTGAACGGATTAAAGCAACTGCGGGGGTTTGATGCCGTGCCGGCCCACTCACGGGGCTCGCTGAGATGGAAATTGAGACTGAGTGTGGTGGTGCCCGCCAGTAATCCAGCTCTTGTGAAGCCGATCACTACGATTACAATCTGGAGTGAAAAGAGCCATTTGTTTTATCAAACCAAATTCCAATTAGTATAATGGATCCTTTCATAAAGAAAGTTGGCAAAGACAAATAAAAACAAGCAGGAGGCCTGAGGCAGTATTCCTCAAAGCAGGAAGCATGTTCCTTCTCCTATCACTGGTGACAGAAGCATTGTCTTTCCGGAGAAAATCAAGGCAAAATACATCATAAACATCAAAAAAGTCATTAGCATTTACACCAGCGATACCTTTGCTAGAATTTTTTTCAGTGCTGGAGATTGGGCAAGGGGTTGTGCCCATACCCAACAAGCAGGTTACCACTGAACTACATTGCCAACCCTAGGAATTTATTTAAATAACTTCTGTGTAAGTGCAAACTTGTCTTTATTTTTTTTTTTCTTATATATTTAGTACAGGGTCTACTGGGTCTCACTATGTAGATCAGACTTGTAGTGATCGTCCTGTAGTCAGCCTCCCAAGCCCTGGGTTTTCAGACATGCACCACCGCACCCAGTCTTATTCGCCATCTCAGGCTGTCCCAGGGGCGGGGCTGGCACAGCACACTACGGATTGTACTCCAGTTCCGCTACGCTATCTGGTTGGCCCCAAACTTGTCTTGAAGAATGTTCATAGCTACCATTTTAAATTGCATAAAATTGCAAGCAGTATAAATATCTCCGAAGATAGGAATTTGGGTGCATATTGATCATTTCACTTAGTAAAATATTTGAAAGCTTTAAAACTTGCTTTTAACCAGAATGTCAAAGTGGGAAAATGTTCCATCATATTTTCTGAGAAGAGAAAAGCAATTTCAAAGCATAATGTTTGATAATATTCTATTTTTATAATAAGAAAAATATTTATAAAGTGAAGTCTAGTGGTTCATATAGAAAGAATAAAGAGTAAGCAGGTAGGGGATGAAGACAACTTGTCCTGATTTGGGGGCTGGGGACACAGCTAAGGGGCTTAAGAACCTGCCTGGGAAGCACAAGGTCCTGAGTTTGATCCCTGGTACCAACATAAAAATAAAAATATAAAGCCTTGTTTGAACTGGTCCTGATTTGTTATGTCTGTTATTACCGTACACTGATTTTACTACAGCTACTCCACGTATCACTCACCTTATGAAAATGATAGTCTCCTCAGTAGATCTGGCTCTTCTGTATATGGGCATGGATGAGGCAAATGAAGTGTGCTCCTACCTGAAGGCACGGAGGGTCAGATCGCAGTCTCTCAGCAGAGAGCAGGCCTGTAGAGTGGAGACCGCTCCATCCTTGCCCTGCCCGGGCCTTTGTACTGAGCGTGACGTCAGGTGCTCCAGTGGACGTAGGAGTGATGCTGAGTGGCAGCCCACCCTGTGCATGGTTATGTTTCTGATTCCATTTTAGGTTCAAATATGTTTCTTTTATAGTAAGTAATTAAAACATTTTGTTTGTGGAGTATAGGAGAGCTTAGTTTTTGCGTCGTGTTTTATTCCAGTTCATTTCCGAGGTGATGTGATTCAATAGGCTCCAGTTCCCGAGCTCCCATGTCAGAAGTGCATCTTTGTGTGACACAATTCCATCGCCTACAAGACAGTGACGCACATAAGATTGTCAGGAAGTTTAAATGGGCCATTTTAAAGATACAGAAAGCTGTGCCAAAAATTGCTCAAAATCACCAAACTGGAAAGGAAGGTCGGTTTTCTCTGATCATAACATCAGAACTGAAGCTACCATGTTCCAAAGTCGTTTTTAAAAATTGGAAGCAGAAAATCAAAGCATTCGCCTAGCAAGAAAGCAGTGCCAACTTCCAGACTCGTGTGTGTGTGCGCGTGGACTAGGAAAATGTTGTCAAACAATGGCTTTTCTTTTATCATACAAACACAGACGCTGTGATCCGTTTTCTTGTGGTTGGAAAGGAATAAATAAGAAAGGGCTGTTTGAAATTTGCAATTCATAATATTAAGGGATGGCGAAGTAATGAATCAGGGGCAAGGTTCCAAATGAAGCAGAAAAGGCTGCTGCACAGTCACATTCCTGCCAAGAAATCCAGAAATTCAGCCGTGTGGGCAGACTTAGCAGTCTTCCTCGGCCCTGTCGACGTGCTCAAGGAGTAGGGCGGTTCCTTCTGCCTACCCACTCTCCGCTCCTCTCTTTCTATCCAGCCGCTAGCACTAATAAAAATGTTTTGTGTGATGTAAATAATATCTTATGGAAACAGACTGCCATTCGTGTTTTTATTTGTACTTGGGATTACTTTTTCACTGCGGCACTTTGGCACAATTGGGGATGAACGCGTACCTGGTAACGCCAGTACTAATTGCTTCGTGAAATGCACTGACCCTTGTGTTCCCATGTGTCTTCTCTCGTCTAGAAAGCAGAGATTGCTATCGCGCCTCTGACAATCACCTTGGTCCGAGAAGAGGTCATCGACTTCTCTAAGCCCTTCATGAGTCTGGGCATCTCCATCATGATCAAAAAGCCTCAGAAATCTAAACCGGGTGTGTTCTCCTTCCTGGATCCGCTGGCTTACGAGATCTGGATGTGCATAGTCTTCGCCTACATCGGCGTCAGCGTGGTGTTGTTCCTCGTGAGCAGGTTCAGCCCGTACGAGTGGCACACGGAAGAGCCTGAGGATGGAAAGGAAGGACCCAGCGACCAGCCTCCCAATGAGTTTGGCATCTTCAACAGCCTCTGGTTTTCCCTGGGTGCGTTTATGCAACAAGGATGTGACATTTCCCCCAGGTGAGTTTCAAAACTCACGTCCTTCACCGATTTCCCAGGAATTCTGAATGCCGTGTGGGAGACAGCTCTTTATGGGTTCTTCTCCTGCAGGTTGAGCATAGTTCTAAATACAGGGTAAACTTTCAGTTCCCAAATTAACAGAAGTGTATTCATAACCAATTTCTCCTAAGCTGGCACAAAACATAGATACTGTGCCACAAAAAGATTAACATTCTCAACAGAAAAGTGTGTATGCAAACCAGGGAAACTCTCAGAAATGATTCTGTATCAATATTGCATTCAGTGACTTCACAAATGGAAACTAAGCTAGTGGTGCATGCTTCTAGGACCAGTCCTCGGGGAGGCTGAGGCAGGAGAATGCAAGCTTGAGTGAGCCTCATTCAGGCAATTTAGTGACTTGGCAAGACCTTTCTCCCTAAATTTAAAAAAAAAAAAAAAAGTGTAAAGGGCTGGTGATGTAGATGTTAGAGTAAAGTTTCTGGGGTGCTACCTTCAGTAACGAAAAGAAAAAAATCTAAATTATACAAGAGGCATTCATTTTCTTTTTGTTGCCATTTCAAAAATGAATATTGTTGCCGTTGCTACTATTGTTTTCCTTTGTCAAAAATAAATGTTGAACTTAATAATCAGCTCAAATAGTTTAAGGGAGGTTTCTGTCATGAAATTCCCTAAAAGCTAAGCCAATGTAATTTGTACCAGATATATTGTTGTACATAACAACAAATAAATAAGCTAAGCAGTAGGAAAAAGAAAGCCCACAGTGCAATGCACGCTCGTTGCCTAGAGATGTTTTTCTGTCCCCGGGGGTTCATGGCTCCCTCCCTCTGGATATCATTCCTCAGTGTCTGTGTTCCCTAAAAATTAGTTTATCTCCCATTGCCAGAAAATTTCCTGACTTCTCCCACAGAGAAAATAGCTTAAAGTATGAGAAAGCTAAGTGTTGAATTTAATTTTGATTGTGTGTTAGCATCGCAAATTTGCTTTTTCAAAAAGTATTATTTTGACTATAAAGTAGCCATGTGCTTCAAAAGACCCAGGAAAATGATAAATGTTCTTAAATGCCAGTAACATAGCAATCTGAACCAATGGCTTTCAGTTAAAGAAATTAGAAAGCATCAAGGCAGATGGAGTAACGCTTTTTAAAAAACCAAGATGAAGGAAACAGTAACTGAAAACTAGTAGGTGTCATATATAACAGCAAGTAGTGAGAGAGCACTTTAAAATTAGAAGGACCTTGGAAAATGTGGACAATCCTTCACTTTTAAAGAAGCTATGTGCATGTGTGTGCGTGTGTGTGTGTGTGTGTGTGTGTGTGTGTGTGTGATCCTGGAGACAGAACCCAGGACATTTACACTGAGCTATGTCCCTACCTCTTATTCACTTTTTTATTTTATCTTGCTAAGTCATTAATTGCCCAGACTGGGCTCAAGACTCTCTTGCCTCAGCATACAAAAGAGCTGAGAGTACACACGTGGCATTTTTTTAAAATCTGAAGACAATTTTCCCTAGAATTTAAAATATTTTTGTGGTTTCAAGGAGTGAAATCACTACAAAAATTCCCTAGATCTTTTTAGTCTGGTTTTAACTTTTCTTCTGTATCCATACTCATTTTTGATAGCCAGAGAGAGAATGAAGGAAGAAAATTTTGTACCAGTAGATAAAGATGCTCTATGACATATATTAGCTCGCCCTTTAGTTACCTCAGAAATGGAATCTCAAATGCGCGGATGTCCTGACCTGTGGTCACTCTGAAACCAATCCTAAGCCCCCAACTCACCCAGCCTTGTGTGAGCTTGGCCGCCTCCTTCATGCTGACAGGGCTCTCACCGAAGCTTTAGACAGTGTCCTGTCCGCAGAAGGCAGCCACAAACCTGCCACCGTCACTGTGTCCACATGAGCTGCTATTTTACGTACATCTCAGAGATGAAACAGTGCTGCCACCTCAACTACGACCATATGTTTTATCTCATCAAGCCTAGGCTGCAACCTAATTTCAGAAAGGCTGAAATGTAAAGGAGAGAGGTTATTAATGAAAGAAAGTGTCGCCTCCCTCCCGTTAAGTTCCCGATTTCCACTAATTAAACAATAAATCGAAAAAGGTCTCCAGACATTCAGGGGCACACATATTCGGTATATAAGATTATGCAAAAATATTAAATAGATATAAGACTATACAAAAATATTAAAATCTTTCTTGAGTAGATTATCAGGAAACAGAAGATGATGCTTGCAATTGTTATTTTTAGGGCTGCTTGGTGAAATCGACATTTCTCCTTTTTGTATGTCAGTTAGAGAAAGAAAGCTGTGAATTACTGTATTCGTGTTCAGATCCCTCTCAGGTCGAATCGTTGGAGGTGTCTGGTGGTTCTTCACCCTCATCATTATATCGTCTTACACTGCGAACTTGGCTGCTTTCCTCACGGTTGAGCGGATGGTCTCCCCCATAGAGAGCGCGGAAGACCTGGCCAAACAGACAGAAATTGCCTACGGAACCCTGGATTCAGGGTCAACGAAGGAATTCTTTAGAGTAAGTTAAGGGAAAAACTAATGATGATGTATGTCCATAATTCTGAAATTCAGGCTATTTTTCCGAGAATTGTATTATAACTTCAGCCTTTATAGATTCTGTACATGAAATGGTAAAAGTCACGTTGGATATTCGGCCTTCCTGGGCTTGATGATCATGTTCATTGGAAAAGCCAACCGGTTCATTCACGCTGCAGCCGGAGCCCTCTAAGGAGCCGGAACAGGAAAGGCAGCTCCGCAGCCTGAGGATGTAATTGCTCCAAAGAGTTCCCCAGTAAGGGCGCCATGGCAAGGCCAGACCGGATGTGATGGGGTTGTGCCTGCTTCGGGGCGGGGAGTACAAAAGGGAGAGTGCATTCTGCCGCTTTCAGTAGTACTTGTTTCTAGTACATAGCGTTTCCATTCCGTGTAAGGAACTGTTACATCCACTAATACACCTCAATTTCTTTCTCCTTCCTCTTTCTCTCCCTTTCATCTCCCCTCTATCCATCTGTTTATCTTTCTTTCGCCTCCTTTCCTCCTTCCTTCCCTCCCTCCCTCCCTCCCTTCCTTCCTCCCCTCCCTTCTTTCCTTCCTCCCTTCCTCTCTTCCCTCCTCCTTCCTTCCCTCCCTCCCTCCCTCCCTCCCTTCCTTCCTTCCTCCCTCCCTCCCTTCTTTCCTTCTTTCTTTTCTGTATTTCCAGAACATGATGTCTATGCTCCTGTGTGGAGCTGGTACCTGCGTGCACCACACCCCAGTTCTTTCACCATCCTCTTTCCCTCCTTTCTCTCACCCTCTTTTCCTGATTCACCTCCACTTTGAAAAAAAAATCTGTCATTTCTTCTTATCTATCCTTTGCTTTATTCTCTGGGCTTCTGCATCTATTTTCCTGTGAATGTGTCGAATTCATCCTTCTTTTGCACAGAGTACAATCCACGGTGTGTAAATACCCTTTTATCCTTATCTATTCCTCTGTTAAGGGACGCATAGGCTGCCTTCAAGATTTAGCTAGCATGGACTGTGCTTCTCTGAGCCTGCCCACGTATGTAATGCAACGTCAAGTCCTTCAGGAATACTCCTAGGAGCGAAATGTCTGTGTCAAATGTAATTTCTAGTCTTAGCTTTTGAGGAATCTCCATACTGATTGCCACTGTCTCTGTGCACTAGCCTACACTCCCAGCAGCAGCGAGAAGGGCTCCTTTTCCCTGCATCCTTCCCAGCATTCGTCATTATTTGAATGCTTAGTGACACCTACTATTTCTGGGGTAAGATGCAATCTCAGGGTTGTACTTTGCGTTTCTCAAATGCTCAGTGATGTTGAGCATTTCTGACATCCTTATTGATCATTTGTACCTTATCCTTAAGTGTCTATTCATTTCACTTGCCCATTTTTAGATTGAGTCTTTTATTAGGGGGGTTCTAATATTATTGAGTCTTCTATTTATTCTACATATTAGTCCTCAGGGCCGGCGAGATAGCTCAGTGGGCTAAGCACCTGCTTAGGCAAGTGCAGGGACCAGGGTTCAATCCCTGGCACCACATGCCACGCTGGCCCCACCCCTGGGGCATGCTGAGCCCATGACCGAGTCTGGGAGTGGTGGTGCACGCCTGTGATCCCAGCGCTGGGGAGTCTGAAAACGGGGGGATCGCGATGAGTTCGAGCTGTGTAGTGAGATGCTGCACGCGTGCACACACGCACACACACACCCTAGGTATTAGTCCTCTGAAGAATAGCTGTCTAGTTTTTGTCCCATTCTGCCACTTGCCTCTTCATTCCTGTTGTCTCCCATGCTGTGCAGCTGTCCTGTAGTGCGATGTTTCTGGGCACTACCGCATTTCCTGTGCATCCGGGTTCTGCTCAGAAAGTCCTCGTGGGGCCGGCTAAATAGCTCAGCGGGTTAAAGCACCTGCAAGCAGGCTCAGGGGCTGTGGTTCGATCCCCAGGCTTGCCGTGCAGGTCCACCCCCCAGGGAGGGGGGGGCACACTGAGACAGCAATTGAGACTGGGGGTGGTGGCACACGCCTGTAATCCCATCTCTTAGGAGGCTGTAAACAGGCAGATCACTGCAAGTCAGATCTAGTAGTGAGA